GACATGCGTCACGTCACACTTTCACACAGCCCTAGGGGTATCACAGCTTTACTTTCCTGCCCGATGGGCTTTTCTAAATCTAGGGAATTTGTCCTGAATTTGAACAGAATTTGAACTGAATTTGAAGCGAAATTGAGCCGAATTTGAATTGAATTTGAAGCGAATTTGAGCCGAATTTGAATTGAATTTGCATAGAACTTGCACGGATTTTCCCTTTACCGCCCTATTTTTCACACAGTTTTGACCTACTGCCCTAGGGCCCTAGGGGTAAGGGGGGGCGGGGGCGGGGGGGGGGGGGGGGGGGGGGGGGGGGGGGGGGGGGGGGGGGGGGGGGGGGGGGCCCAAAAATACAGACATGTTGTCCTGCTCCCCTTTGCAAATTCTTCGTTTTGGCCTGCGATAGATATGCTATAATTTGAGAAACACAGTTTTTTATACTTGGATTGGGGATGTTGCTGAGCTGCAGCTGAGGCAGTCGCCTGCTGCCTGCTGAATGCAGAGCAGTTGCCAAAACCCTCCCCTATTACGTGCCCTACTAACAACATCCCAGATCACAGACACGTCACCGATTTATCACCTCTACATAACATATACCTTTAGTTTGAGGCGGTCCGTAGTACAGTAGTACAGTCCCCCCCCTAGGCCCCTACGTAGGGGGAGTGATCTTAAACCTAAACCCCTGAACCCTAAGCGGCAACCAGCAAGCAGGTGTCCATTGGCCGTCGGCGCTGTTGGCTGTGGGCACTCTGTGGCTCTGCGGCTTCTGGCTGTGAGTTTGCATTCGATTGCTGCCAAAACACAGTGAAAAGCAAGTAAGATAGCAGGAGTCACTGGAGTCACTGGAGTTCCATGGTAATTGGCCCATTGCAGACTTGCAGAGTCGCGTCGTTTCGGCATATGATAGGGACTCTCCCGGGCTCATTTCTGTGAGAGTGGGGTGATGGGGTAAAAAATCAGCCCCGCTCTTGACATCATGTGACAGCTTCCTGCTCCGTAGCTTTTGCATGGTAGTACGTGCTACATCTTGCTACCAGCAGCAATGGTCCTCGTGAGAGTGGTTCAACCACCCCCTGACACACGAGCATCCCCAGGAATCGACCCGGACTCATTTCCGAACTACCCCCCACTACCCCACCTCTGTTAGGGGGTGGGTATATACATACTAAATTTCCAGCTTGTTTGGAGTCTTGGACTCGTGCCGACACTGGGAAACTTGGGACACTTTACTTTAAGTTGCTTTAAGTAGCGGTTACCCACATTGTGAAGTTGTTTCGTTTGTGTGTTTGAGTTTGATGTTGCATAGTTATCCTGCAATTCACAGTGGACAGTTGGAGCGAGAGCGATGCTGTCATTGACAGATCAGTTCCAGCGGCCATGTTCGATTCGCGGCGTCATGACGTTGCTGCAGCCGAACAAGCCCTTTGGCCTTTGACTGGGCCCTGGCAGTGTAGCCTGGGTGTTCTGCAGTATATAGTAGTCGTCGTAGGACTGCCGCCGCCACGGGCCGCCACTACCGCCACCACCAGCATCAGCAACACCGTTTCAGCCTGACAGCAACAAAAGTACAGTCCTGAGGCCACTGCAGCTTTGCAAGAAGCATCAAGCTTCGCGAGATGCGCTGATGTCCCAGGCTCGCCAGGCTGTGGCGGGACCGAGGACGAGTGGGCTATAACAAAGTCGGGGGAGTGGGAGTGGGGAGTGTCATCTGCTTCCAACCCATTCAGCCAAGTAAGATGTGCTGGCACTGGCACCAGTCATCAGAAATTCATCTCATGTGAATGTGGCTATTCGTGTTGCAGGAAGAAACGAAAGGTTGACGAAGATCCAGCTGTGGCGGATGCCGCAGAGAAGGAGGCCCAGACAAGTGGAGGCCATTCACTCAGTTCCGGAACCGGGTCTTGGGTAGTGGGTAGTCGATACTCGAATGTGTCATCATGCGAATCAAAGGATTGACTTGAGTAAGTCTCCGATTTCCAAAGTCTGTCGCGCTTCAGTGGGTCCCTGGCTTGCCAATTGTTACTTGGACCTGTGCCAAGATTCCAAGATCACACCGTTCGGGATTCGGATTGGAGTTTTGATTCTAAACTGTTTGCAGTGTGCAGTAACTCAGTTTGACCAAAGAAGGAACCGACGGTTCGGGTTGCAGCATGTTGCAGCCAGGAGAAGTCTACGATATGCTTTGCCAGATGGAGCTCGACAACCCGGAAGAGTTCAAGGGTTACGTGGCTGACTTCGAGGACAAGAAGCTCGTCTGAACTTAGCATGTAACAACAATTTGGGAATCCGGGGCCCTGGGAGCCTATAGCAGGCATAAGCGCTGTGGAATTCTAACACTTGAGCTTTTAGGCCCTTAGCCTAAGCACTAGGGCGGTAGGCTCGCGCATTACGTGCATTCGGGCAGCATCATGCATCGTGGCACAAATCATCGCGGAACATTAAAGCAGACACAAAGACGGAGTCAGAGAGCCGGTGTCTGCACTGTGGCCGGGTTGGGGCTGGACATGCTGTAGGTGCTGTACGTGTGCATTGTGAATTGTAAATCTGAAGCTGAAGCTTGTCAAGTTTGTCAAGCTCGAACTCTCGACTCTCGATTCTCGATTGGGCTCAGCGGCTCAGCTGCTCTCAGAGACTCTCAGGTGCCCATCTGAGGGCAAGGGCGTGTCGCGCAAGAAGTACGACTATACTTCCTTGGCCAAGCGCGACGCAAGTGGCGTCAGGACGGCTGCGAACCAGGAGACTACTGCCATGACTCGGGATGAGTTTGTGGACTTCTACATGCATCGGGCTCCGCTTCACAACCGTGCCGCGGCGAATCACTTTGGGAGTAGGGTGACTCAGGACTCAGGGTGACCGTGTGTCGGATTGTCAATTTCCTTGGAAAGCGACGGGACCCCCCAAAAAGCGATACGATTAACGAGGATCCGCGAATCCGCGGTATGTGTCATGTGTGCCTAGATTTTCCGTGTGCTATATGGGTAGGCTAGGCAATCGATACCCTAATCGATACCCAATCGATACCTATTAGATCGTTTTATGAGCCACTGCCCCTCACGGGGCAAACTACGAGCAGGATCAGTGAGTTTGATGGTTTTCTTGCTTTCACAAGAGCAGAGCAGCAGAGCGATACCTCACAGAAACATGTGACTCATGTGACGGAATCCTTGTAAAGCGATAGGACCCGGACCCCGGCCCCCCAAGTCATCCATGGTCTAGCCATGAACAAGAAGTTTTGACAAACGCTGATATGAAAGCCTTGCCATGCAATTGCCGGTCTTGCACTGACTAATAAACAATGGGAACTTAATAAGTCAATTCATGTTGTGTAAGTGTTGTAATTCCTACCAGCACCCGAAGTTCAAACAGGTAATTTCAAAGGGCTGCCGCAATCGAGGTCTCAACAAAGAGGCTGCCAGGATAAAATTTGAGCGCGACAAGAACAATCCGCTCATCGCAAAAGAGCAAGTCCAGGCCATGTTTTTCAGCGGCCTGCTTGGCAAATCCGGGCGTCACAGAGTCACAGACCTGAACTGCTCTTCGGAATGACCCTCTCTTTTTCTCTCTCTCTCTCTCTCTCTCTCTCTCTCTCTCTCTCTCTCTCTCTCTCTCTCTCTCTCTCTCTCTCTCTCTCTCTCTCTCTCTCTCTCTTTCTCTCTCTTTCTCTCTCTTTCTTCTTTTTCCCTCGTGTGGATTCAGTGTGGATCTGGAAGTAGTCTGGAAGTGAAGTCTGGAATCTGGCAGTCTGTAGTTCTAGCCCAAGCGGCAAGCGAACCCCAAACCAAACCCCAAATTGCTAAAACCTTGGAGGCCAATGATGAATTTGGGAATGACCTTGGACTGGTGCCGTGTCTGAACTGAACTGTGACTTTGGCAGTTGGCAGCTGGCACTGAGTTTTGTTGGTTTGCGGTTGGCATTCACCGCTCGATGAGGTTGGGAGTTGGGAGTTAGGAGTTGGGAGGAGTCTGTATTTGGGTCGTTGTGGGTTGGTGCGGTGGTGAATGATGAATGGCGGACAAAATCGGACAAAATGGGGCCGTTTGGATTGGATTCATGGCATTCGTGTATGGTTGAAATCGCCGAGGCAATAGGGGATGTGATGTGACCAGTGACCTGGTGAACCGTGAACCTACTCTACTCAATACTCCCAACTTCTGTGTCTGTGTTGTAACTCCTGCCATCTGTCGCAGAGGTATGGGCGGTGCATGTTATGACCCACAATGTCAGAGCGAGCAGTGCTTACAAGGACTCCGGACCGGACCATCATGTGTCAGTGTCAGGTGTCATTGCCGATTGAATCTTCGTTTTCACCATTGACGACTCATTGACGACCATGGCTGATGGTCGTTTATCGCGTTCGCTGGTGTTGCGAGTGTTTGCAGCTGCAAGACGTCAACAAGAACGGAACAGCCATAAAAACAAATATCTGTTCATGTGTCTTTCCAACAGGACAAGCAAGTGGTGGAAGAGCGAAGGTACCAGGCCTGCGCGGGCGGGGCTGCATGGCATGGCATCTAATCACTCTTACCTGGCTTTCTTGCAAATTCCGGCTGTGTAGTTGTCCGCCGGTTTGCTGATTGCTTCCTTTGCGTGAAAGTGCAATGCAAGGCAGTAGAGCAGAGCACCAACACGGCCCAAGGCCCAGGGCCCCGGGCCCCGGGCCTTGACTTGATCTGCGGCGCACCATATCACTATATGACACCGTTATGAGGGTTCCCGAGTTCCCGCAAGCTCGTGACCCCGTGAGTCGTTCGATATATCCTAAACAGCCGATGATCAGCCTACTACATCATGTATAGTATATCAGGCAGGTGTAGGCTGTTGGAGTAGGTTCACGCTTGTAGTATGGCCGACCGACAGCCAGGTAGGGCCAGGCTAGGTAGAGTCGGTAGAGTAGTAGATTAGTAGAGTCCGGGCCAGGGCAAAGTCGTATATGTACCATGCCATGTGATAGGCATATCATATCAGCCAGGAAACCGGGGAGAGCGAGCGGATCGATGCTGAGATGGCCGCCAAGAGGCGCCGCATCACGAAAGAGATCGAAGCGGAGGCATTTTCGGGATTCGGGATTCGGGACCTCGGGGCCTCGGGACTCGGGAACTTCGGGACTTCGGGCTGACTCGCTGTTCGGGACATGTATAATCGATGGGTAATTAGACTTAAATTTCCAGAGCTTGGAATTATGCTGATCTTGCATTACTGCTATTACTAAATACATCTCGATTGGAGTCATTGGAATGAATGATTCATTATTCAGCGAATGGGTCCGGGTCCGGGTATGCAGTATGCAGTGCGCAAGCTGCACATGAATGCTTTGGCTTTGTCAGTGGTCAGTGATGAGCATGGTGAACATCATGATGTATCATGTTCCTTTGTGTGACAGTGTAGTGTGTGTGTGTGTGTGTGTGTGTGTCAGTGTCAGTGTCAGTGCGATCCGTGCATGCGTCACTTTGATGCCGTGTGGGCTGACGTGGCTGCGTGACAGTATCAGGTATGACCCTGACCCTGACCCGTGATTGGATTGGATTGGTGTCATTGGTGTGACGATTCGGTGTGACGGTGTGATTGCTGAGGTGAGTGATTCTGAGTCTGAGTGATCATTTAACGATGTTTGCACGTGTTGCGTAATTCAGGGGATACTGGCGGATTCATGCAGCGATCGGATTCATCGGATCGGCTGCTGCATTGACTGCATTGCAAATTGCAAATTGCATGGCTGTATTATACTGTATTGCTGTGACTGTTGAGGCTGTGATTGCTCATGGCAGAATTTTCCTGCTAAGTGATTGGGGCTTCCTGAGTTCCTGGCCTGGTATTCTTGGGGTCAATTCCTGGTCCAAGCCTAGAGCGAGTCGCGGGTTGCGACTCCGACTTACAAGTTCATGTTTCATTTTCATCGCTGCTGCAGGAATCCGTCGACCTGACGGCACTGACGGCGGCAACCGTGAGCACGCCGATGATGGCCTCGGCCTCTTCAAGGGGCGACGGTGGCGGCCACAACACGAAGGGCGCGCCGGGCAGGGCCAGTGGCAGTGGCAGTGGCGGGGCCACTCCGAGTCGTGCCTCGGCCTCGAACCCAGCCGCTGGTGATGCCGACATGGACAAGCAGACTAAGCAGTTGCTCAAGCTGCCGGTGACCACCGTGGCAACGAAGTTGCGGACGAAATCCATGAAGGGTTACACCGAGATGTTGACAGCGGCTCAGAAGGCACAGCAAGCGGCCAAGGACTGCACTGCATACCGCGCTCTGCCCAGCACGAAACTTGAATACCTCACCTCATGGACTCATGACTCATGGACCTCATTGTCATATTTGTGCGAGAGGAGAGAGAGAAAGAGAAAGAGAGAGAGAGAGAGAGAGAGAGAGAGAGAGAGAGAGAGAGAGAGAGAGAGAGAGAGAGAGAGAGAGAGAGAGAGAGAGAGAGAGAGAGAGAGAGAGAGAGAGAGCGAGAGAAAGAGAGCGAGAGAGCGAGAAGCAAAGATTCGGAGTGACTCTAGAGACAGAGAAAGAAAGTTGGCGACGGCGAGAGTATTGTTTGCCTGCAATTAAGAAAACCTTGAACCCGAAGGCCGAAAGGCTTGTGTCAGGATCTGCTCAAAGCAGAGCTGCCAGAGCCGGGAGATGGCTCCGGAGAAGCCGGAGAACACGGGGGCCCAGAGTCCTCAGAGGCTTTGGATCTGGCAGATCGGCCACTCCTCCGCCAGATCAAGGAACGCTTCGCGATCCTCAGCGCGCTGAGTGACACAGCTCAGACGAAGATCGACACCAAGAAGATGGAGCCGGTTTTGAAGCAACTGTCACAGGACGGTCTTGGACTGCTTGGCCTTGTCCATTGTCCAGTCGAATCCATTTCAATCCTATGAAGTCCTATAAAGAGTCCTATCCACTTGAATGTTTGAAAACTATCGTGACACTGACACTTGATTGGATTGGGCTTCGATATAACACTTGGCATCCTAGTCCTAATCACTCATAATCCTATCATTTCGGGACATCGGCCGCTTCGGCCAGGATCTTCGGCCCCCACCGCCGCGACCGCCGCCCCTGCAGGCTGTAGGCCCGTAGGCTCATAGCCCTGAACCATCCTGAGCCCTGAAGCCCTGATGAATTTACTGATATCAAAACTGTCAAACCCTTCCAGCCCGCAGCCGCTTTCGTGCTGCTTCACTCCAGGATCAGTACTACAGCGAGATTTTTCCTGACGGACAAGAGACGCAGCCGAAGCTGATGACGATTGGGAATGTACAATTCTTGAGGTCGGTGCAGATTTCTCTAGTCAAAAAGGCGGAGCAGTGCCTCCAGATCCACCAGCAAGCGGTGGACGGGATCGATTTCTTGAAGAACCTCGCGAAGAACTTGTTGACAGACGTTTCGCAGTTCAAGGCCTTCGTGGAAGCAGACCGCAAGGCCAAGGAAGAAGAGGAGAAGATCGCTAAGTGCTTCGGCTTCGGATAGGAAACATATATAGGCATCACCTTATTATGACGTGCCGACGGGGTGCAAGGTTTTTATTTTTCAATTTCATGACATCATGCAAATGCAATCCAAGTGATTCCTTTGCTTTGCATGCCTCCTCGGCCTCGGCCTCGGCCAGGAAAGAGAAAGCGAAGCAGGACAGAATCGCGAAGAAAGACCGTGAGAAGAAAGAAAGGGAAGCAAAAAAGAAAGAAGAGAAACAAAAGAAGAAAAAAAAGAAAAGAAAAGGCGACGGCGAAGAGGAAGGGGAGGAAGACGAGGACCAGGAGGCAGGCCGCGGCCATGAAGGCCATGCCGTGCTGAGCGCTGGGCAAATTTGGATGCTGGGTTTGGATCAATGAGTCACGTCAGGGAGTGGCCGCAGAGTGGCCGCAGTGAAAGTTTAAACATATATGTATATATATATATATATATATATATATATATTACATAGCATGTGATTGTCAGATTGCTGCTTTTCATTTAGCGTCGTATTTCAATGTCGCACGGCGGTCCGCTTGGCTTGGTCCTGGTGGTGATTTCAGCATTGCTTTCCCACGTACTGTAGCATAGTTTTTGTCATTGGCGAGTTCTGAAGTCTGAAGGTTCGCAGCAAAAGGCCTCGACGGCCAAACGAAAGCGGAACCCCTGTCAGTTAAGCATCGAGACTGACAAAGTGTTGGCGGTCAAGTTTGAGGATGACAACATGGTGCCCCTCTTCAAGGATCTTGACAGCTTCCTGCAACATGTTGTGGACACTGGGATTGATGATAACAGATAGGTTTGGAGTTTGAATTTTTTTTTCGGGTCGATTGTCGAATGCTGCAGTTGCTGTAGGACATTCGGACTTTCGGGCACTTTGGGGCCAAACTTTGAGGTGCCTACAGTCCCACAGGCTTCAGGTCTTCAGCCGGTAGTTCAAGTAGACTGACAGTGAATGAGTGCAACTTAGGAGACAGATATGCCAGCAATCTGCCGGCTGAAATCCGGGATGGAAAAGAAGATGTTCGAGAAAGATGCGGAGTCAGCGGAATCGGCTGCTGCGTTGCCCAAGGGTGTTCTCAACGGCTTCATCAAGAAAATCAACTCGGTACCTTGTCTTACTGTCGACCTGTCGGGCCGGCTTTCAGGCGGAGCTTTGCTTGTCGTCGCAGTCGTCGTCGCACGTGTGCCTAAAAGTATTTAGCTTTGCGCATGTGTGACTGCGTGCGAGTGAGTGAGTGTGTCCTGTGTCCTTTAGGACGTTACCAAACCCTACCCTCCCTAAACCCTAAACTCCTATATCCTTTAGTCCTTTAGTACCTATAAACTTACCCTAAAGCCCGAAACCCTGGGGCCTGAACCGTAGGATTTGGCGACCTTCATCGAAGAGTTCGCTGCGGCTGGATCATCGCGTTCCACAAAACCTTTGGAGGTTCCTGGGGGCCGTCTCGGCATGGACTCCATCCTCTTCTCTCTGATCGAGGATAGGCTCTTGAAGGGCTTTGATGCGGAGGATGCGGCCGGCCGGAAACCTGATCAGAATGAGGACAATGAGGACGGGGATTCGGACCATTTCTTCCTGGTGCTGTTGGTGACTAGTGCTAGAATTACGGTTAACAGCCCCAGCCCCATCCCTATAGTCGAGAGTCACCCTGTCCTAAAAGTCCTCAACGGATGGATGCGAAGGACAAGCAAGAAGAAGGCGGTGTGGCGGTGTTGCCGGAGTCGTCTTCACGGGTGGTGCTTGATCGTGATCACTTGTGCCAAGTGCTGCCCAGCCGCAGCTACTCTACTAGGACCTCGAGTCAACTCGAGTGGAGTTTCTAATTCCGTCTCGATAAGTCGATAAGTAGTAGTACGGAATAACTGTAAACATTTGTTGATTGACCTGGTTGCATGCGCAAGACTCAGGTTCCAGAAGCAGCTGCAAAGCCAGGGCTCCGAGGATGATGTCACTTCCTTGAAGGTTGTCAGCAAGGTTTGCGGTGCCACCTTGACCGGCTTTGCTGCCGATGCCCGCTACACAGGCAACCTTCCAGGCCGCGTTGAATCAGCATTGGTAGTATTGCTGTGTAACGCTGATTGACACGATCGGTTGCACCGAAACAAAGTATACAACGCTTTTAAGCTTTTGTTGTTTGATGTTTGATGTGTTACGTTTTTGAACATCAATTCATTCTTTCATTCATTCACTCCATTCATTCCTTCATTCATTCACTCATTCACTCACTTACTCACTCCATTGATTCATTCATTCATTCATTCATTCATTCATCCATTCCTTCGTCCATGACCTCAGGGAGCTCTGGATTCTGGCATATCCAGAGAGAAGGCAGCAGGATGATGGTCATGCTGAGCTTGGCCGAAGCCTGGGAGTTCGCAAAAGCAGAGAGTCTTCGTGAAGCTTGTTTGGCGATTGACAACATCACGGATCCGAAAACAGCGCCCCCGTCACTTCGACAGGCCAGTCTCAAGTCAACGTCATTGTACAAGTACAATTGGGCTTTTGGAATTTGGTCGTTGTTTAAGGCAGTTTAAGGTTTCGGGCGGATAGGACGGATTCGGATAGGCTGTTGATGGACGATGTTTTAACGTTCAGTTGGAATGCTGCTAAGTTTTGTATTTGGACTCGAACTCGAACCGATATGAGAGAGCAAACCCCAAATCCCTGCTGACTGCCAGAGGCCTATGTGGCGAAAGGAGACCTCCTGTATGTCCCACCATGCCAGCTGATCATTGAGAAGGCGACCGGTTCTGACAACCATTCCTTGCGAGTCATGTCAATGTATTGGAAAGATCACGAGAAAAAATTGCCGCGTCTCGAGCAAATGCAAGAGTTCTTTCCGTGACCTTGCTGTTTTATGAATACCGTCATTTTGACTATTTTGAACCGTGTTTGGTGTAATTTAGGTTGGGGCATTTCGATGATATGCTGCGCTGCTTGCAGTATATCGAATTTCGATTGTCCGCCCTCCAAGGAGCGACCTCACTGTGGCTGTCATGGACGTCTTGCGAGGTTTCCAAGACCCTACTTCTTCGCCCGGGCTGGGCATGTTCCGGCCAGCTCCTCCAGGGGCGGGGGCGAGCCCGCAGCAGGCCTGTGGGTGGCAACTCGCGTCGCCCCCTGCCCGCCCGAGCGGTTCCCCTGTTCCCCTATCGCCTGTATATCAGCAGCCCCGCGGCCCCACGAGGACAAGGAAGATGACAACGATGAGGAGGAGGATGAGGAAGCTGAGGAAGGCTCGGAAGAAGTGAGGGAAGGCAATGAGAAAATCCGCAAGGCCGGGTCAGGTGTTCGGGCCTCGGGTCCTCGTCCATCGTGGTTCAGACAAAGACACTTGCGAGTGCCGGTGCCGTTATGGCTTTGTTCTGCGAGGGCCACCTCGTCTTCGCTAAAACTTAAAGCTTGAGCCTAAAATGCCACCTTAAACCGTAGACCCTCCGGGACCATGTTGTCATGCTTTCATGTCGCGAAGACCTATAAAACATGATGCACATCATTCATGATCCGGACTCCGGACAAACCCTAAACCCTAAACCCCGGGTGAGCGCCGAAACCCTAAAATCCTAAACCTTGAACCCCTAAACCCCTAAACCCCTAAACCCTCAACCCTAAACCCCAAAAAGCGATCTTTGATCTTGCAGTGGGCTCGGCAACTCGCATTTGGCTTGCATGCATTGAAGCGAGTTTATTTCCCGTTGTGTCTGAATCCGTTGATTTGCAGTTTGCAGGCGTTGTTGGACGACTTTGACAAGGATGGCGAGAGCAACGAGGAACAGGCACAGCCCGCACACACACACACACACACACACAGAGACATGCACCAAGGCACAGGGGTTTGTTTGTTTTATGGTTTTGCAGTGGAATATTGGCAGTTCTGACAGGCCACTGGCTGTCGCTGACTCTTTCACTGTTTCACTTTCAAGATTGGGTCGGTGGGTAAGCCTTGACAGTTTCGTGACCTTTACTTGACTTGAACAGAAACAGTAACCGTCACTAGCCACCGCCGACTTCTTGTGATTGTAGCAACCGTCGGGCCGGGAACGGAAGTTGCCGCATAGCGAAGCCGGAAAGCCGACCTTGCAATTGTAATTCCAGCCCGGAGGATAAGATGGATGAGAAGCAGAAAGAAATGAAGATCGGCGACGAGGCACCGTGAACAGAGAGGTGTGTTCTTGTTCACCGTGTGACATCAGCAAAGTCTTTAGACTGTCTTTACGGCAGGCATTGCCCTAAACCCTAAACCCGATAAGCCTTAAACCGTCATGATGCATATTTCAGGCTACTTTGAATGGTGACACAAGAATGTGACTTGAATTGTTGGGTTTTCGTTTGACAGGCACTACCCATTATTGAGTTGTTCTGATTGCAGCGACCGTTGGGAACGAGGCCGGAAATGAGCCCATCTTGCAGCCCGTGCCGCCGCAGCCAACGGAAGCTACGAACGAGAAGCAGGACGAAAGGAAGAACGAGGAAGAGGCACCCTGAACAGATATCAGGCAACTCAGATAGGTGCGTTCTCAATCGCGATGTTAGTCAGCACTCGATGTCACATATGTGTTTCAAGGTATTGCGAATGTTGAAAACATGTGACTTGAGCTTTTTGGGTTTTCGTTGGAGAAACACCAGCCGAACCGTTAACCATTGATGAACTCTTCTGATTGTAGCAACGTTGGGAACCGAATTCCGAGGCCGGAAAGCTGAACCTGCAGCTTGAGCCGCCGCCGTCGGAAAACAAGGACGAGAAGCGGGACGAAAACAAGATCGAAGAAGAGGCATCGGATAAGTCAGATAAGCATGTTCTCATTCATCATGTGTCGTCACAAGAGACCAAAGTGTTTACTCGACGTATGATGTGTCTTCTATTGGGTGTTCGTTTGTGAAACACTACCCTGCATGTTGACCTTTTGTGATTGTAGCAACCGTTGGGAACGGAATTCCGAGGCTGGAAAGCTGAACCTGCAGCTTGAGCCGCCGCCGTCGGAAAACAAGGACGAGAAGCGGGACGAAAACAAGATCGAAGAAGAGGCATCGCATAAGTCAGATAAGAATGTTCTCATTCATCATGTGTCGTCACCAGAGACCAATGTCTTTACTCGATGTATGATGTGTCTTCTATTGGGTGTTTGTTCCTGAAACACTACCGCGCATGTTGACCTTTTGTGATTGTAGCAACCGTTGGGAACGGAATTCCGAGGCCGGAAAGCCGAACTTGCAGCCGCCGCCGACGGAACACGAGGAGGAGAAGCAGGACGAAAACAAGATCGAAGAAGAGGCATCGGATAAGTCAGATAAGCATGTTCTCATTCATCATGTGCCGTCACCAGAGTCCAACGTCTTTACTCGATGTATGATGTGTCTTCTATTGGGTGTTTGTTCCTGAAACACTACCGCGCATGTTGACCTTTTGTGATTGTAGCAACCGTTGGGAACGGAATTCCGAGGCCGGAAAGCCGAACTTGCAGCCGCCGCCGACGGAACACGAGGAGGAGAAGCAGGACGAAAACAAGATCGAAGAAGAGGCATCGGACAAGTCAGAGAAGCATGTTCTCCTTCATCATCTGTCGTCACCAGAGACCAACGTCTTTACTCGATGTATGATGTGTCTTCTATTGGGTGTTTGTTCCTGAAACACTACCGCGCATGTTGACCTTTTGTGATTGTGGCAACCGTTGGGAACGGAATTCCGAGGCCGGAAAGCTGAACCTTGAGCAGCCGCCGACGGAAAACAAGGACGAGAAGAAGCAGGACGAAAACAAGATCGAAGAAGAGGCATCGAACAAGTCAGATAAGCATGTTCTCATTCATCATGTGTCGTCACCAGAGACCAAAGTGTTTACTCGATGTATGATGTGTCTTCTATTGGGTGTTCGTTTGTGAAACCCTTCACTACCGTGCATGTTGACCTTTTGTGATTGTAGCAACCGTTGGGGGCGGAATTCCGAGGCCGGAAAGCTGAATCTTGAGCCGCCGCCGACGGAAAACAAGGGCGAGAAGCAGGACGAAAACAAGACCGAAGAAGAGGCATCGAACAAGTCAGATAAGCATGTTCTCATTCATCATGTGTCGTCACCAGAGACCAACGTCTTTACTCGATGTATGATGTGTCTTCTATTGGGTGTTCGTTTGTGAAACCCTTCACTACCGTGCATGTTGACCTTTTGTGATTGTAGCAACCGTTGGGGGCGGAATTCCGAGGCCGGAAAGCTGAATCTTGAGCCGCCGCCGACGGAAAACAAGGGCGAGAAGCAGGACGAAAACAAGACCGAAGAAGAGGCATCGAACAAGTCAGATAAGCATGTTCTCATTCATCATGTGTCGTCACCAGAGACCAACGTCTTTACTCGATGTATGATGTGTCTTCTATTGGGTGTTCGTTTGTGAAACCCTTCACTACCGCGCATGTTGACCTTTTGTGATTGTGGCAACCGTTGGGAACGGAATTCCGAGGCCGGAAAGCTGAATCTTGAGCCGCCGCCGACGGAAAACAAGGACGAGAAGCAGGACGAAAACAAGATCGAAGAAGAGGCGTCGAACAAGTCAGATAAGCATGTTCTCATTCATCATGTGTCGTCACCAGAGACCAAAGTCTTTACTCGATGTATGATGTGTCTTCTATTGGGTGTTCGTTTGTGAAACACTACCCTGCATGTTGACCTTTTGTGATTGTAGCAACCGTTGGGAACGGAATTCCGAGGCCGGAAAGCTGAATCTTGAGCCGCCGCCGACGGAAAACGAGGAGGAGAAGCAGGACGAAAAAAAGAGCGAAGAAGAGGCATCGGACAAGTCAGAGAAGCATGTTCTCATTCATCATGTGTCGTCACCAGAGACCAAAGTCTTGACTCGATGTATGATGTGTCTTCTATTGGGTGTTTGTTTGTGAAACACTACCCTGCATGTTGACCTTTTGTGATTGTAGCAACCGTTGGGAACGCAATTCCGAGGCCGGAAAGCTGAACCTTGAGCCGCCGCCGACGGAAAACGAGGAGGAGAAGAAGCAGGACGAAAACAAGATCGAAGAAGAGGCATCGGACAAGTCAGAGAAGCATGTTCTCCTTCATCATCTGTCGTCACCAGAGACCAAAGTCTTTACTCGATATATGATGTGTCTACTATTGGGTGTTCGTTTGTGAAACACCACCGTGCATGTTGACCTTTTGTGATTGTAGCAACCGTTGGGGGACGGAATTCCGAGGCCGGAAAGCCGAACTTTGAGCCGCCGCCGACGGAAAACGAGGAGGAGAAGAAGGGCGAACATATCGAGGAAGAGGCATCATAATGCAGATAAGGTGTGCATTCGATGTGTGATGTTTAGTCTGTGACTCGAACTGTGAACTGCTGGGTTTTTGTTTGAGAAGCACTACCGTGCATGTTGACCTGTTGTCATTGTAGCAACCGTTGGGAACGGAATTCCAAGGCCGGAAAGCCGAACTTGCAGCCGCAGCCGACGGAAAACGAGCAGGAGAAGCAGGACGAAAGGAACAGTGGCGAAGAGGCACCGTGAACAGAAGTAGCAAAAAGTGTGTTTTTGTTCACATTGTCGCCTGCGCAATCTTCACGGGATGTACGATGCATACAGCATGCTATTATGCTCATGGAAGATGTATTGAAGATGTTGATGCCACTGCAACTTGATTTGAACCGGGTTTTCCTGTGCTGACTGTCACTGGTTACCGCTGGTTCTTTAGCTCTTTGAAGTTTGAACTTGAACAGTTTTGGGGCCGTTCGCCAATTCCCAGGCCGCAAAGGCAACCTCGCAGCGTGAGCCAGAGCCGAATCAGAAGCAGAAGACAGATGAGAGGGCTGAAAGGAAAAAGGACGATGACCAAGAGGCGTGGCGTTGGCATCCATTGGCATCCTCCACAAGTCATTGTGTGGGTAGGCTTTGGGCCCTTTGGGCAGGGCCGGGCATCTTGGGGAAAATGTGGTCATGAGTCATGAGTCAGGGTGACAATTCTGTGAATAACACTGGCACTAGCCGTCGCAATCGCAAACATCTTGTATTTTTAATTTTTAACAACCCAAAATAATGTAAGTTGACGAATTCCGAGGCGACCTGGCGGCTTGAGTCTGAGCCGAATGACAAGAAGGATGATAAGACCAACGATGAAAGAAAGGACGAGGACGAGGAGGCCAAAACCAAGTTAATTTGTGGATCAGCGCAGGTCAGGTCTGCCGGGTTATGAGGGGCCCGGGTTCCCATTCCCTTGCACCGGTTGTCGTTTGCCCGTCAGTCGCGGGATCTATACTTCGGGCCACTTGTGACAAACATGCAGCCGTGGAGCGGAAGTTCGCGACGAGTTCCGAGTTCCGAGGTCGGAACGGCGACGACCTGGCGTCAGCGGAGGAGAAGAGAAAGGAGGAAGGACACAGAGGCACCATGACTAGATAAATATGTGCAGATTCGCAGTGTTCTTGTTGTTTGGAAATTTTGGGCTGTAGATTTCGGGCACTTTTGGAAGTGTTGCTTTTTTCGTGTGAGGAAACCTAGTTATCGTCATTGTCTCTAACCCCTTTACGGAAGTTGGCGAATTCCGAAGCCGAAACGACAAACTCACAACTCACAGCTTGAACCTCAGCCGGAGCTTCAGGAGCGGCAAAAAAACCAGCAGCTTGATCATGATCCTGAGCTTCAGGAGCTGGAGGAACACACGGATATCACGGAGGAGATGCACAACGACCCAGAGGCACGGTGAATAAGTGAATAGATATGTGGCAAAGCAAACTCTTCGTTGTTCGTTCAAATCAAAACCTTGTGACTTGTGAGGTTGTATACTTCGGGCAGTTTCGGGAAAACGAAAAGTGGCCATGGAAGAACATGTTGACAGTTCTTTAGCTTCAACTGTCAAGTTATCGTCTGAGAAATGTGGACGATCTTTGACCTCCTGTGGTCCTGTGAATTGAACTTTGAACAGTAGTTCGGAACAGGATATTGACGAATTCCGAGGCCGGAAAGACAGCCTCGCTTCAGCCGGAGGCAAAGCAGGGTGAAACGGATGAGAAACGTAAAGAAAAGAAGAGCGACACCGAGGCACCATCGATATCAATAGAAATGTGCAGATTCCTCGTTGTTGTAGTAATTTTCAAGCCGCTGCGCTCGGAAAGGCGACTTCGTCGTCGTCGTCGCTGCTTGAGCCGAAGGAGACGGATGCGGAAGAAAGGAAGACCGAGAAAGACGCTGGAGAGGCGCGGCGACCGCGCATCATCTCGACATCTCCGACATCTGGATCCCGTGGTTGTGTGACAGTGTGAATTGTGTCTGTGTGACTTGTGATGACTTGTGACTGCGTGACATGTGTGCCAGTCCCAGTGTGTGCTTTGCCGCTGTACATGATGCCTTGAAGCCGGCTTCTTGCAGGGGTCCACGGTCCATGATCGAATCGATGAGGCACTGTGTCACTGTTAGAATAAGTTCCCAAGCTTGAACTTGGAAGTTGGACATATCTCAGACTACTAGTAGACGACTAGAAGATTCTCGCCATTTTGGCTAGACAGCCACTGCCATGGCGGCAGTGAAGAGAAAGACGTGCCAGTGCGACCCGCCAGTACCTCGCATTGATAATCATTGATAGCAAGAGCCGAATTCCCGCCGTTCCCGCCTTGGTTTTACATTTTACAGTGAACACCGTGTTTTGATGTAGCCGACACGAGCGCGAAACCAAGTACGAAATTGATCGTGACATAACATAAGCTGATGGTGCTTCTAATCGGAAGTTCGGTGCAAAGTGAAAACCACATGTCGTTGTCGGAAGTCGGAAGACGAAGCTTAACCGAGGACAGTGGCAGTGGCGATGATTCCGGCTGCAGCCTATCGTCATCGTCATCATCATCGTCCTCGTGTCCGTCGCCCAAGGAATCTCCGGCACCGGCCCACGGCCATAGCAGTGGCAACGCAGCAGTGACAAGTGAGGAAGGAGCCGAAGGAGCCATCATCACGAATGATTAAAGCAATTAGACAGCTAGATCATTGCTCGTTGATCAGGTCCAAAGCCCAGCTGATGAAAACTTGAAATCCCGTGAATCTCCCATTATGTGTATCTGAAGAATTTTGTGGATCAACTTTTCCATGTCTTGTGGGTTGCTGCTGCTTGTTCTTCGCAGGAGCACTGGCAGTGGCACCAGCCGCGTGCAACGCGGAGGTGACAGTGTCAGTTGCCGAGACAAACGATGCGGAGAACCGGTCCGATAACGAAGTTGAAGCCGCGCGCAACGATGCGGAGGTGGCAGTAGCAAACACCGAGACACACGATGCGGAGAACCAGTCCGATAACGAAGTTGATGAAGACACTGAGATTCAGAAGACTTTGAAGAATGGTCCTGCAAGTCTGATAGACTTATACAACTATAGTTTGCGGTATGCAACAACACTTCTTGGGTCAGATGAGAGTTGCGGGCCGGCGACTCTTAACTACGACAGCTGCGAGTCGGCAAGACGTGTGCTTGAGTGTAGGGTGGTCCTGCACGACCAGTACAGCGGCATGGGGACCGCTGGCTGGACGTTGCACCGTTGCTTGAAGGACTTGCGCATGGCACTGGAAAAGCTTATTTGCCACTTGGCGAAATCTCACTGCTGCTGTTTCTTCTTGTTTTGATCTTGGTTTCAGAGTGTATGTATGATAATGATATTGTAGCTACACTGGCCCCTGGCCCTACGGCCCTACAAGACTCGACCCGGCCCTAAACTTGCTATGCTCCCGAACAAAGAGGCAGCATGCTCAGGCTGGCGGTTGAGGCTGGGGCTCAGACTGTGCAGAGAACAAACGGGAAGGTGGTTAGTGTTTCGGTCTCGGTGTCGGTGTTTCTAAGTGTTTTCATGGATAGAGCAGAATCAATAGGTCAACAGGCTGTTCAGCTGTTCCTTGCATTTGATGGTTGGTCAGTTGCTCAGGTTCGTGCGCAGAGTTGAAAGCACGGTGGGGTATTTCCGATGATATGGATGTGTCTGCTTTTTTGCGTGGTGAGTACAAGTACGGGCGAGACGATCCCCCTGCCGTGGTGAGTCGTACTGCTTGTGACCGCAACCCAGTTTGCCGCCGTGTGCTCAGTTCACTGGCCTCAGCCGCCCGACTGAAGCCAGATGTGACACGTGTCGAGTAAGGAAGTCCTTAGCGGAGTAGTTCCAATATGTGTGTCGAATGTCGACTATGAGCTGTGACTGGAACGAATCAACTTGAACTGAACACTTGAAGACTTGAAGTTTGAACCAACTTTTGCAAAGCAGGCTGCAACTGCAGGCTGCAGGAACCCTAAACCCTAAACAGTGGTCAGAGGGCAGGTCAATTCGCCTGCATTCCCATCTGAGGTGTGCAGGCCTGAGCACATCCACGGGGACTTGGATGAACGCATCGTGCCTGAAGCATGCGCGGCCTTGACCAAGATTAGGGCCGACATCCAATGGGAGATTGACATGTGGCTGCAAAGCCTGCGCCGCTTCGCTGAACTTCGCTTAGTGTGAGCCGTGACGGCCGTGACTTCCGATTTTTGCTGGGTCCGCCCGGGGTCGGTGTGGGCCCGGGCCAGATTCGTTAAGTTTTCAAGTTGTGTGCATGTCAAGGCGAAGACGGTGGCAATGATGTCACACTGTCAACAGCAGAGAAGGGAAGGTTCGGCCAGAAACTGCTCAGCAAATACATGGATGTTCTCTCGGACCGATCGGTGTTCAAGCCCACCGCCCCATGTCATGTCCATAATGCCTGTGGCAAGAGCAAAGCGAAACGGAAGGCTGCTCGGAAGGCTGGTGGGCCCTGGCAGGGGTGGCTCTCACTGCTCGTAGAATCTGTAGCTTGTAGTAGGAGTGGCAGTGTCCCGACCAGGAGTCGTCGGAAGAAGAGCGCGGGTGTGTCACGCCCGTTGGCGAGAAAATCTTGGAAAGCGAGCTGGAGAATGAGACGTTTCGGCCTCGGCAGCGGCGCCGCCCGACGCTTCGCATGGCAGTCGCAGGCACGTCCTGCACCGATGTCAGCCAGATCGGTCACTTGGTCCAAAATGCAGGCTCCAGGACCCACAGGCTCCAGCAGGGGTAATTTATCAGTCAATCAGGCCGTAGTCCTCGAGTCCTCGGTCTTAGTTTAGGTCCGTCGGTGACGTCAGTGATCAACGCCAGGTTCCAAAGCCGGGCTTCTTGGAGAGAGCAGCCGGTCTCTAGCCATTTGGATGAGTGAAAGACTTCACTCCCAAGAAGTTTCTTGGCTTTCACTCACTGCAATCCTCCGGTTGCTTCGGTCTACAGCATCTACCGTATATTAAGGTGTTCTGCCTACCTCGTGCGACTATACTGGT